GGCATACAGTATAGTATATGTTCCTTGGATGCTCAGTGGAAGGTGTTGGGGTTTGGACGGATCATCATGACTACTTTCTTTAATGAGTAAGCTCCTCCCCTGAACTCTGCCCAGTAGACTCCATCTTGGTAGCGGCTGCGGTAGTGTCCTCCTCTGTACCAAACTCCATTCAGATTAGAATGGGCACAAGAGTTGTACCACCAGCCTCCCTTCTGGTAATGGGCACAATTTCCTTAAAAACGTGGAAAAATAAGTGAGAAACAGTCAAGCTATGCTCATAAACATGGAGAAATTATTGGAGCTAATCTGCCGGAACGTCAGCCAGATTTTTACCTGTATACACATCGTGGTCTCTGTCCAGTGTTGTGAACTGTTTGCCGTTGTGCCAGGTCAGCGAGTCTCCAGCATTTCCATGGTAGCGGCCCACCCTCAGCTTGTAGAAATCAGCTTCAGACTCCACCCTGAAGCTGGCATACTCCGCAAACACCTTTCTGCCAGACCAGTCCTCCAGCGTGACCAGCAGTTTGTAGTTTCCCTGGTTAGTCAGCCAGTAGATGTTTTCTAGACCCAGCCAGTACTCGCCGTCAATATTGCCAAAACCTTGCTGTGAAGTGCAGTGATAAGAAAAAAAACATTATCAGTACAATTAGTAAATTCCTTCTGAATGTTGTTTGAAAAGCTTTGAATGGTTAGATTGGACGGCCGGGGGGATGAGTCAGGGTTGTTGCTCCTGCTCTGCAGATAATTATGAATTTTATCTCTCTTTTCTTTTCTTTTTTCTTTTTTTTGTGGTTGTTTATCGTCAAGGAACATTATCATAAATGGACCCTTTGAGTCGAATTTATAGCTTCAGTCGGTTTTCCAGATTTCCACTGTTATGTTGTTATTGAGAATGCAGCAGGATACAGTGCATTTAGTGTGAAAGCCAACATACTTGATCCTGGCTCGCCACTATTTTCTGACTCTGGTCATATTATAAGTTGGTTTGTGGTGTTTCAAATTGTGGAAACACTTCTTTTGATGAGTGCACAAAGGCAATTTGAGATCTTGTGTGGTTTAGAGGTTTTTTTGCAAAACTTTCTTTTGTTCCTCGGAGCTAAGATTTAATCAGGAGTCACAGCCTATAAATGTTTACCTATGAACTCCGTCTTCCACTGTAAGAGGTTTCCCATTCAAGAGATAGAGGTAATTAGATCCCCTGGGTAAGTGGTAATGTTCTCCACAGCCCTCTATAGCCATGTATCTGGTAGTTCTGGTGTAATATTCAAAAAGTATTTTTCCAGAATGTCAGTAATGATAATACAACACACTAACATGACTTCCAAATGCAATCCAATAGTTTTGTATGTGTGAATTTGTCTCAGAAGACCACTGTGACAAATACCTCATTGCTGAAATTAATGAGGTATTAGGCTGTGACGTATGCAGGGGCAATCAGCCTATATTAGACACGTGGAAAGCTTAACAGTCACCTATTCATTGGTCACTGACATCTGGTTAGTGTCAAAACACCCTACATAAGTAACCAGCTTCCCTCCAGACCATAAAAGTCCTTGATCTGGTGTGAAGTTGCCGCACCTTGTATGTCTCCCAGTTCCTGAAAAAGTTGACAGAGCCGTCCACCCTCCTCTGAATCACAGTCCAGCCGCCTGGGTCGTGCCTCTGGTCACACCACACTTGCATAAGTCGGTTGGCATTCTCTGGCTTCACCAGGTACATGCCGCTGGTTGCGTGTCCGTCTTCTAGAGCCTGCAGACAGTCTCTAAACGGGCCTAGACAGAAAGATTAAAGCATCATGTGTACACGGCATGTAAAACACACTCAGTTGCAAGTCTTTGCTCAAAGGTTGAGAGTCAGAAAAAGAGAAAAACTCAGAGTGACACAAAGAGTTACTGTACTTTACCACAGGGAATCCCAGTTTTCTGCACAGGCACTCATTTTAACAGTAGAATTGACTTTGGCTTCTACTATCACAAGGGAAATGGCTGCTGATTGCGCAGCCAAAAGAAACACTGGCATGAGGGCAAAGGGAATCCTGACTACTGAATGATGAAACAATAGCAAAAACGTTTCAGTCATGTATAACACGTTAGAGTTTCGTGTGTGTTTATATTACCAAGATGTTAATGTTATTGCAGAGGGGAAAGAAACTGCACAGTACAGCCTGAGCAGCATCAAAACTGCATTATATTTCAGCAGCTGTATCTACCCTAATTTGAACATGTGCCTGTATTTCTTCCAAGCATAGCAAATATGGTAAAAACACTCATCTGCAAAAATGTTAAAATGTATTTAAGTTCTCAAGATTGCATGCTTGAGTGGTTTGCTAACTGGCCCGTGTTACAGTTTTTAAATGCAAAAAGAAAGACAATTATGGGCCGCACGGAGCATTGGAGGTGGAGGATGAGGTCCATCAGTGTTTTACACGAGGAAAAAAAGCAAGCATATGAAAGAAAGAAGCAAAGAATGTGTTGTTATACACATGTTTCTGGTTTCAAGAAATCACTGTGGATGATATCTGCTTCATAGTCCACTCTTAGCCACCCATTTACTCTCAGGAATGTCTGTGTTGGGCCGATACAAGCCAGAAAGTTGCCCTGCCCTGCCCTTGCTCTGTTCTGCCTGATAAAGTCTGCTTCTTCGGTGGAACATATGACTGAGTCTTGCCTGGTTCAGCTGGAACAAATGACATCATTGACTCAGGGTATCTCTTTCTGTTTGTAGTTACACCCTCCCTTTTTTGTTAGACTTCATCCTCATGTTTTCTGTTTGCCGTTCAAATCCCTGTCTTCCTCTCTTTACTTCTTCGTGGTGTGTAGCTTTCTGTTACGGTTTTGAATAACTTTTTGGGGTGTTAGTTGCATGACCGTGGGCAGGAAATTACTTGCCTCCTTTCAAAAATCCATACAAAGGCTACTGTTCACATGCAGCCTGGTGAAAAGTGGCATGCAGTGGCACGAAATGTCAACGGAAAACGCTCCCACTGGAAATGCTGGGAATAGTCTGCTGTTTTTCCACCAAAACGAAAGTCTTTTAATAAAAAGGAGTGGCAGTGTACTATTCACTGCAACTGATCCCATCAAATGCCCTTCGCATCAATTCTTAAATCTGCACGCACATGTTCAAAAGGACAATGGGCTTAGGGCCAGGTATCCATTTAGGCGCACACAGTTGGCCATGCTTGTGTTTTTATGCGGGTTAAATCGTGGCAATTTGATGATATGCATCTGAAAAGGCAGAAGACAACAGCGTTTCTGTTCTCACGGCCAGCTCTCTCCTCTAGGAATGTGTGGGACAAATTTAAATTTGCTATGACTACGAAGAATGGGTGTTAATGATTAAGAGGTTCACTCACAAACACGGTCTTTGTTTGCGAATGCTTTTTGTCATGGCAGCTGGTTTGTTTTGGTACCAGTGCATCAAATACAAATGTTTTCTGTTGGACTGTTAGACTCACCAGAGGGCTTGTCAGTGGTAGATGGACTGTGTGTACCAGTGGGCATTGTTGGAAGAACTGGTGGAAGAGACTTTTGGTCACTCTGGATTTCGTTGCTGATTGGGTTGTTGATGCGTGGGATTACAGGCGGCTGGTAGGGCTTGTTAATAGGGGGTGAGGGTTGTGGTGGAGGCTGAGGCCGCGGCTGGGGCTGGGGCACAGGAACATGGCGAGGAGGAGGTCGACTCCGGCACTGCTCCTCCAACACGGCAATGAGAGCCGACTGGTTGGTGGCTAAAGAAGCCAAGTGCTGGTATTTGTGCTCGAGATCTTTGTACCGACTGGTGAGCTGTTGCATCTCAGAGGTTTGGTTGAGGATCTTGTTCTCCATCTGTGCCAGTTCTAGCGCATTGTCTCTCTTCCTGATGATCTCATGGAGCAGCTGCATGTACAGCTGAGTGACCCTGGAGTTCATGTTTCGACTCTCTTTCCTCAGAAGCTTGACCTCGTTGACGATGCCCCCATCCACCTCGACCAACTGCTGCAGGGTCTCGATCTGCCTCTTCTGCTTCTGTAATTCCACATTAAGCAGCTCTAACTCTTGTTTGTTGACCCGGTTCTCCAGCATGGCCTCTGGCTCCTTGGAGTTGACACAGATGGCTCCAGTCACTTTTTGTTGAGGTACAATGAAAGTGTAGGAACATTTGTCCTGCTGCTGGTCAGCTGGAGCACGTTTGCTCCTTCCTGCGTAGATAAAATCTCTTTCCAGACCCTCCTCGCTGCTCTCAAATTCTTGGGTACTGCCCCTGCCACGGCTGCCGTCTGAGCGACTCCCCAACGTCTGCTGGACTCCACAGGCTAGTCCATAAACTAGAAGGAGCCCTAGCAGGACCACTGAAGGGGGCTCCATGAGTTAGTGTCCAACTCTAAAGAATGCAAGTAAGAAAATGGAAAACATGGAGATGTTTAGGGGGAAACTATCAACTGTTAAGCAGAAGACACAGCTATGCTCGATCTGTTACTTCTACATTTAAACCAAAACCTTATTTTGATGCAATATCAAGAGAATCTTGATGTTAACATAGGTCTATTACCAGAAAAAGCTTGCTCATCAAGATACACTGGTTTTGTCTTCATTAACCACAAGAAACAAACAGGTACAGAAGCAGCATGCATACACATGTCAGTGTAGGCTGGGCAGAAGTTGGCAAAGCTACAGTCAACTGAAAGAAAATGGCTCACTTGCCCTGCTGAGTGTCACAGATGCATTATATTCATGTGTAATCCATAAATCTGAGTGTCTCGGTGTCTTTGCTGTTCATATTTTTTTTTTCCTTTCCAGTCACCTTTCTCACTCACTATGTGTTAACAGACCTCTCTGTATTGAATCGTATCTGTTATTAATCTCTGTCTCTCTTCCACAGCATGTCTTTTATCCTGTCTTCCTTCTCTCACCCCAACCGGTCGCAGCAGATGGCCGCCCCTCCCTGAGCCTGGTTCTGCCGGAGGTTTCTTCCCGTTAAAAGGGAGTTTTTCCTTCCCACTGTCGCCAAAGTGCTTGCTCATAGGGGGTCATATGATTGTTGGGCTTTTCTCTGTATCTATGAAGCGCCTTGAGGCGACATTTGTTGTGATTTGGCGCTATATAAATAAAATTGAATTGAATTGAATTGAATTGAATATCACTGCTGGTGTGAGCAGACACTGTTGCTTTGCCTCTGGCTTTAAGTGTCATTTACGAAATGTGCTGAGTCTGTTTTTTTTAAATTGAAGTCCGAGCTTCAAAAGCAATACATGCACACGTGGTTTGATAGTTACTAATATACCTCATTGCCCTGAACAGTGATGTGCTGATCACTTTGGTTAATTAAGTCGCAGGTAGGATCGTGCGCTCAACTTTGTTTGTCGTTCTGGCGTCGGCTCCATTTGAGCGACTGCCACCGCTTGTCCCTTACGCACTCCAACATGCATCTGTTCCACTCTGCAGGCCTGGACATCTTAACTCATGGAAAATTTGAGACACCACCAGATGATGCTATTCAAAGCTCTGTTTAAAGTATTGAGCATGTTGCATCAGTTCTGTGTATATATAGCTCCTACCAAAACTGGGAAATTGGTTGCATTCAGACGATTAATCATAAGTCATGGAGGAAATTCATCTTAATTTGCAGACTTGAAACGCGTCTGTTTCTGCTTTGACTGCGAGACTGAAAGCTTACTTTAGCATTCAGCATGAATATGAATGAATAAAGGCAGCTAATATTATCCTCATCTTTGCTTGATTGAATCTGAGATAAAGTTCAGTTTAGAATCTCTTTAAAATCATATTTCCTGTGTGTAATTAAGCATTTCCTCAAGGGTTCAGGAGAATTAAAATATGAGCTATTCCCCTAGAATGCATTTATATTATTAGTAAAATAAGTTTTCAGAGTTTTTGAAGATCTGGAGGAATGTGCTACTGGTTGTCAAGGTAAATGTAACTCCTGCATGAGGATAACAAGGCCTGTAACTCCTTGAGCAGCATAATTGAAAGCTGCTGCATATTGGATTACAGTGGGGTCCTGTTTAACACCTCCTCGGAGTCAAAGTGGGCCGGCCTAATCATAAAGCATTACAGAGAAACCTAAATTGGCTGTGTAATGATTGCCAGCCTTTAGGACTTCCATTTGTTATTGCTTATCTTTGTGTAAAAGACCATCTACCATATAACGATGAACACAAAATTGGGAAGAGAGCAGAAATGTTTTTGTCTTGTTAATCCAGGCGTGTAGCCAGCGCATTAGATTGGAGACATGGAGAAGAGAAATGCAGCACTGTCCAAGATCATGACCCTTGGCACATTTGACTCTTCTGGCTTTATCTGTCTAGAATCAAATGTGTAAACACTTTCTTCCTGGGGGAAAAAAAAGTAATAGAAATTATCTTCTGCACAGTTCATGGTAGTCTTATGTAACCTGTGTTTTTGATGTCATCGTTTACTCAGCCAGAACATTTTTTTAAAAAAAATTACAGTACAAAAGAGCATAAGGTCTCAGAAGTACTTTGGTAATACAATACTTTAAAGCACTCGTCACCTATGCAAAAAAAAAATTAAAAAAAATAAGTGCACAGTTTCTTCTTTAGATAAAGCACAAAACTCTTCTGTCTTTCAGAAAAGCTAATCCATCTGACAAAGCAATCACTGATTGACGCCGAAAATTGTAGTGTCAAAATATTTTTCACACTATGCAAAGAGATTCTTCTAATCAGGTCTGACAAATATAGTCTTAAAGTCTTACAGATCAAACCCTGAAGAAGTGACTAATAATAGCTTACAAGTAAGCCCGCGGCATGATAATAGAGCAGCTCAGGGCCTGTCCTGCAATGTGCTGATGACTGTATTTGTCCACGGCTCCTGCGGTTTCTCCCCCCCGGAACATGAGCTCTGTCTCAGAGAAATGCCGTGTGATTTGCCCCTGCTGTGGAGGACTCCCACTTTGGACGCAGTTAGCCTGGAATCTCCTGCTCTAGGCTTCTCTACACTTCAAAGCTGAGGGGAAAATGTTTGCAGCTTGCAGTGAAACGTGTGTTCGCAAGTGTGATGCAGTCTGTGCATGTCTATGAATGTTTTTCCCCCTGTTAATGTGTTTTCTAATAACAACACTTGCTGGCTTTCAGTATCCCGGGGACAATAGCCAGTCTCATCTGCCCCAGCAGAGGCAGCATGTTATTACCTTATCCATAGTCTGCCAGGGGGATCAGCGGAAAAGCCTTTACCTCCTTATTTCCTGTTAAAACCCCCATGGACTTTATAGTCCTAAGATCAGTCCACCTAAACAAACTGCTACTGACCACCAAACGCTGCAATGATTGAGTGGTCCTTAAAAGTGCCATATCCATACATACTCTGCTCTAGGCCTGAAGACATGTGATCGAATGAAATGAGTGAGCCTTCTTGTTGCAGTATGATTGGCAGCTCCTCTTAGGTAATTTTTTCGAGTCTGCTTCACACCAACATGTTTTGGTTTCACTGTTTTCAGGTGGTAAGTCTGTGTTTACACGACTCCTCTTTCTGGATTTTACTCCGTGTTAAATTAAGTGTGATGGGTGGGTGAAGGGGGCGAGGTCACTGTGTCTCTGACCAGCGCCATGGTCATGCTCAGCACATATTAATTAGAAGGTGGGCTGCCTTGCTCCGGCTGGTCCATGCCTCTCACCCCAGCCCCTCTCATTTCAGACTGAGCATGGCATTCCAAACATTCTTCGTCACCTCATTAGAGCGAGCCGCCATACTCACACCGAGAGTCAGTGGCGGTGGCGGAACCGAGAGCGCCGGACCCCGTAGATGGAGGACCACTGCTACGCCCCCACCCCCTGCCCCTCGTCATCTACCTGTAAGATGCACCATAGCTGCTGACCCACTTCATTCATTGTCCTACTTTCTGTGTGAATGCATCACAATCACACCATCATCATCACCCTCAACAGGAGATCACAGCACGGCTACACAGCATCTCATTTGCCAGTTGCCAAAAAAGAAGCGGACACTTTGCCGCGTGGCTTTGTGCTGCATGTTCAAATTAGCGCCATCGCTGCTGAGAACTGGCAGAGTCTCCTGCATGACACCCAATAAGTGTTGGATCAGAGTCAAATTCAATCTGCTCATGGTAATCTGCACTATTGCTTTACCTTGAGGCGAACCTCATTCTTTCCTCAAGCATGTAATCCTTATGAGCGTGTAACATGTCATTTGAGGCATGATTAACCCCAGTTACCAGCTTGCCATTTATTTTTGTAATTTCCACTGTCTACTGAAAAGCGGAGATAAAGTTGTTTTTTTTGAATGTAGGTTTTGTTCCACTCGATGCTCTTTTTTTTCTCTCTCTTGTGATTTCAGACGGGGAGGCAGGGGGTCTTGGGAATTGTTTCGATAAGTTCCAGCATTCTACCTCAAAGCCCCCTTATCCAAACACCACCCTGGCAACAGAAACAAAGACTAGATTCAACCGCCTGCTTCCCTGTCCTCTTGAGTCGAGGGGAACATCCTGAAGCTGCAGTGTGCTTAACATAGTAAAGTTGTCCCTTTTTTTCTCCCCCCTCTTTATAAATGAGCAGTTATTTATAGATAATAAAAAGAAGTCTTGTGTCCGGCACCATCATAAAGAGCTCTTCATACATATAACACGTACAGGGCATGTCCCTTCATTTTAAACTTTAAGAGCCCTGTGTTTTGAAAACACAGAGTTTTTTTTTCCTAATGAGCAATAAAGAGGCACTTCACTATAGAGGCTCACTCACCAGCATCCCCCTGTGCTGAATTAACCTCCCCTTGGCCAAATCGGTCACAGTCAGCATCAGTCCAGTTAGTCACCATAAAGCATAATTACCTTTTGGCTACAAGCAGTGAGTCAGATGACGGATGCTGCATGATGACTGCTGAATTCAGGATTAGGCAGAAATCATTAAACCAAGTACAGAAGTCTGACTTCAGCCTGCTGTAACAAAGTGAGCTTAACCACACTACTAGAACTAGTTATTGAGACCGAGTCTACTCACAACTCGCTATCTCAAGATACTAAAAACGAGTAAAGTCACTTTTGAATGAATGCAACACCCTGTTGAAATAAACCAGATCATAAGGTAACTGCAGATTCATGACAAGGTTACATCATGCTTACGAGATAATTGCACAATACTGGTGAGGCTCCTTCAGTTCCTTTGCCCTCCTGCCAGACTTGTCTGAAGTTTCTTATGGTTGAACGTCATCCCAAGGGTGAAACCTGCACCCCCGCGTAGTCCTCTCTGCGCTCTGGCTGTCTATAGTTACTCAGCCTTTTCTCACCTTAGTCCACTCCACCGGTGAAAAGGTGGCGTTTCAAAGCCTATTGTTGTAATTGTTAAAAAAAGAAAAAAGAAACTGTCAGTAGCCAAACAGAACGTCAAGTTGAAACTAATCTTCAAACATTAAGGAGATTGCTCCCAGATCCACTTTAACAAAAAAAAAAAAAAAAAAAAGTTGTGAAGAGAAAAAAGCGACAGCTGGCAACGTCAGCCAGGTGGCAGAGGTAGTTTCCTGATCAACAGTGAGAGTCTGAGGCAGGTTGTGTGCTGCCCGCGGCCCGTTAGGAGAGGACTGTCACTTTCCTGTGGGCTGAATCCATCACTTCTGCCTCACAGCTCTAAGAGGCTGTCTCTCTCCACTGCACCTCTCTCTCTCTCTCTCTCTCTTCCTCTCTCTCTCCTCTGTGCTTTTAAATGATGAAAAATCCTGTAGTAGTTTCAGTAGTCAGAGCCCCGCACCCCCACCCTCCAAACACACCCTTAAAATGAACACATTCTTTTTTTTAAAGCAAAAGCCTTCTGTCTTCTACCCCTCCCCCCATGGCACAGAAGAGATTCACAATCACGCACAACACAAGCTACACACTCACACACACTCTACTCAGATTTCCAACCCCTGCCCCCTGGCTACTGGTTCACCACCACCACTACCACCACCACTATTTCTGTCTTGGATTGCACGGTTCTCCTGGTGTTGGACAGCAGGGACGTCAGACTGATCACATCCTAACAGGGCGTGAATGAGCGCCCGTCCTGAGAAACAGCCTGACGGATGGGAAGCAGATCCAGGTGTTTGACTAAAGCCAGGTCTGCTTCACATCGTGGACATGACGTGTTTGAAGCAGGCTGGATTCCTGCATTGTGATGCTGCTCAGAGATAGTAAAAATGAATTAACTTCAGGAGTGTATCAATCATACGGGGCTAAACAAGAGGACATGAAAAACACGATGATGTGCGTGTGGAGAGCGCTGCCAGCAATCTTCAAATTCCTCAATTGGTCTCACGTGGCTGGTTGTCTGTTGTTCTTGTGCTGTCTTCCTGTTTTGCATTTTGCCCTGCCAGTAATGTGGGATTCCTGTCTCTACTAAGATTATTGCCATTTCATATTTTTCTATTCAAAGCAAGGACGTATCATAGAAACACATACAGTGCCATAACAACAGAGGAATTTATCCCTCTCTTGCTGCTCTTAATCTAATTTCTTCTTCTTCTTAAAACTGTAGTCAGCTGTTTAAATTGTTTCTAACTGTTAATCTGGCCAATATTCAGTTTTTTAGCATTAGATAATGTGACAGTGAGGTGATCACATCCTATTTAATGACAGGTCAGCAGCAGTCAGCAAAGCCAAAACTGACTTATAGTGATTTATGACTCACAAATTGCAGCATCTCTAAACTTGCAGATGGGCTTCATTGTCAATCATCTTCTTTTAACTGGCTTCGAGCCTTTTTTTATGCCTTAGTGAATAAAAAGATGGTATCACTACTGTAAGTATTCATTTTCTCATGCTTTGAATAATTAAATAGTATATGTGCAAACATCATTGTGTTTTTCTGACTCTGTGTTGTCTAAAGTTGTCAGTTCTGCTGCTGGGTTTGTTTTACGGGATATCTCATTCTCCCTTCTGGAACATAAACCTTAAATATGTTGCAGATGGCGACTACCTTTTATGTGCGTTAACGAACCTGTAAAAGTGTTGGGATGCATATAAAAAGGAAAGAATGGGGAAGAAATTAATGAAGTTTCTGCAACATAGTTTTAATTCGAGAGTTAAGTAGCAGAAGTAGCAGACATCTCCATTATTGGACACGTCCAAATACACTCATGCTAAATAAAGGGGCCACAAGTGGTGTGCAAGTTAATAGCTGAGGTCTTACAGTTATATGACCCCCCCCCCTTTTTTTTTTTTGTTCTTAACTATGTATGCAGCTGTTCCAGTAATTGTGTACCCTAAAATCAGCATTTTCCATTGTGTTATTTGGTTATATAAGTTCCTTTTAAGCCTGCAGATTGAATACACCTTTGAAATCAAGGCTGTTGTACGGTTTTCATTCTCTCCGAGGAATAGGCCAATCATAAAAAAGTCATACCTCAGTTTTGGGAAATGTTTCAGTGCACTATTAGATAACTTCTAGCAAGAAAGGAAAAAAGCTATGCGCATCAGGCTCTGTTGAACCTTGCTCATGTTTCATGCATTTTTGCAGTTAATAAAAAGAAATTACTGCAAACGGCTGCGTGCTGAAAGTACAATGAGAAACAGAGAAAGAAATCAAGCAAAAGACAACAAATATTTGAAATTGTGTAATGGTTAACCTCATCACCACAATAAGCAGCATGGTACTGTTGATATATTCGCTTCACATTCTTCTGTCGGTTTCTTTGCACAGATCACGTGTGGTTCAGTGTTTACAGGCTGACAGATGTTGATTTCAGTTTCTTCCTAAAGTGAATAGAACAGTCTAAATGTTCCTCCTGAGGACACAGTGGGAATGTAAAACTGCGTTTGTGGAGCAAAGTTGCTGGCAAAAGATACTGGACCAGCAACATCCTGGATTAAGCCAGACTGATGGAGTAGTCACTCATTTGACAAAATAATCCCTTAAAGGGATTTGTGATCAAAGAAACTGTGATTCCACTTAGATCTCCTGGATCACATGTTACACTGGCATTTTTTTTAATGCCCTCCTTGTTTTCTTCCCTGTCTTATATGACAGCTGCAGCTGAATGTGGTCAGCACATGAATGACAGTGCTTTCAGCGTTTTTGACTGACTCATTGTTGAATCTCATCCAAAACCACCGTGTTGGTACAGTGATTAGGTCTCTTTCCATCTCTAATCTCTAGCAGGTGGGAGGAACACTGAAGTCAGTGGGAAAATGTTGCACCCATGCGGAAATGGTGACCAATCAATGCATTTTAAAGCTGCTACCACATGGGAGAGAGCGTGGAAAGGATCTTCAGTTTGGAAATGTTTCACAGATGGCCTCCTATGTTGGTGAATGAGTTAATAATTTGAGAGCCTGGTTGCTTGCCAGTACATCGTTTGGGGTTTTGCAGGTTTTGAAGCAGGAAAGTTCCTGTTATTACTAGAAATGGAGTCGAGTTTAACAGTGTCTATTTCTTGATTTAAAGGTAAGTTTTTCTGGTTCATTTTGCTGACATTCGGTGAATGTTGTAAATAGGTTAACAGATGTAGCAGGATGTGCATGTCAAACAAATATGCTTTCTTGCATCAGTGATGCTCAAAAGCTCAAAACCTAGATGATGTATTTATTACTTCTTTTGCCATTATTATCGGGTTGTCCTAAAAGCTCCCTGTAAAGTCGTCATTTGATGAAAAGAGTGAAAGAGAGAGCATTTTTCTCCCATATTAGTTTCTCCTCATTGGCTCACTGTATAGTGTCATATAACCCCAACAGAGCATTGTACTTACAGCAAGCAGGCTTACTTGTGGTTCCTACAGAATGTAAAAGTAAAATAGGAGGCAGCCTTCAGCTTTCAGGCCCCTCTTCAGTGGAACAAACTCCCAGGTTGCATTTGGGAGACAGACACACTGTCTGCTTTTAAATTAAGCTCAAAGCTTTCCTTTTTGACAAAGCCCCTCCCAGAGCCTAGTTGTGCTGGAGGTTTCTTCCTGCTAAAAGGGAGTTTTTCCTTCCCACTGTCGCCAATTGCTGCTGTATTATTACAGTATCTCTACTTTACAATATAAAACTCCTTGAGGTGACTGCTGTTGTGATGTAGTATATAAATAACATTGAATTGAAGCAAAAGGAACTGCTGTATAGAACATTTTGTATCTGTTTATGATAAAAAATGTTGCGTCTTCTTCTCTTAGACATGTTCCTGCAGCAACTCTGAACACATGTCCACACACATAAGAGGAAATGGAAAGAAACAGCTAAAAACAGCTTTTTCATATAAGCAAACTATTCTAGTCCCCATGTGTTTCAAATATTACAACATATTGTATTTAAAAGATTTGCGTTGTCCTGACTTGAATGCTGATGTTGTTGATTATGAAAGCTTATTGAAAGAGAACTGTAGTCCTCTACTTTGATAGAAATATTACTGGCCAAAATACAAGTTTTCAATAAAACAGAGCTTCAGGATTACATCAATAGACATGTTTTTCCTTTTTTTCCATGAGCTGATGTTTCATCAACAGCGGTTTCCCTTGAGAACTGGAAGGAAAAGCATGACATCATGTTTTCCCCTCCTTTTTAGTAACTCTGAAGGCAATTAAATCTTATCGCTGCGCTCATACAACATAACATGCTGTGGAATCAATTCAGACTTTAAGAGTTTAACATCAGTGGGTCAGTGAGACACTATTAAATACAAAAGTATAAAAGTACACGTTGACCAAACATGTGACCAGACAACTCCACTTTGCTCTGGTTGGTTCAGAAAACATCGCTACAGAAGCCTTTGTGCAGATGCAGCTTTGTTAACCGAGCCTGTGCTGCTATGTTCATTTTAGAGAGAAGAGGCTTTCTCACAATAGCTCTTCTAAATAAGTTGTTTGGTCCTTTTCTAACTGTACTGTCATGAAATTCAACATTTAACTGAGGCCAGTAAAGTCTAGAGTAGAGGGTCATTGACACATAATGACACACTTATTATTATTATTATATATTTCTCATAATATAGGAAAAAAATCTATGACTAACTCATTTATTTAGATTTGGGTCACACGTCACCTTTATAGCCTGTTTGTACTCAATGTTGGGTTTTTGCCTCAAGTTATGAAAGCATCCTGCACTTTACTTGGAAGTACTTTATTGAAGGTTATTAAAGTAGTTCCGTTTTTAGGAAGCAGACATGCTCTTGCTCTCAGACATGCCTGGGCTTGTCCCCTTGTTGCATGCACTAGGGAGCGTAAACGCATGGTGCGTAAAAATCAGTCTCGGGACTAATACGACAGATTGTTTTGAATTAGATATTAAAAAAAAGGTGGTAAGGTGGTAAAGACTACATTATTAAAATCAATAAATGACCTTTTTTTTCAAGGAGTATTTCATTCTGTGAAAGTAATAGTTTAAAGAAACTGTTGTGTACTTGAAGGCTTTCTTGGGGAGTATAATTCAATTCAATTCAATTCAATTCAATTCAATTTTATTTATATAGCGCCAAATCACAACAAAAGTCGCCTCAAGGCGCTTCATACATACAGAGAAAAACCCAACAATCATATGACCCCCTATGAGCAGCACTTTGGCGACAGTGGGAAGGAAAAACTCCCTTTTAACAGGAAGAAACCTCCGGCAGAACCAGGCTCAGGGAGGGGCAGCCATCTGCTGCGACCGGTTGGGG